ATAAACATCGGGGTGCACGTACCCCTTCGGATCCCTACTTTTGTATCTTTGGGGTAAATACCCAGTAGTGCAATTGCTGGATCATATGGTAGCTCTCATAGAGTCTTTTTAAATAAAGAGAAGTAGTTACTAAATTCATGACATTTAGATGTAAAAGAGATTTAACCATTTCATTTTAAGATGTCAATATTTGTGATGCCCTGGAAATTACCTCCTTTGCAACAATTTGCATTTATGATGAAAAAGTTTAGACATCAACAAAAAATGTTCAAGGGTGCATAGTTTTTGAAATGCTTTTAGGTGCTATGCCAGCAAAATCGTTTGAAGACCACAACTTTGCATTTGAATTCAATCTTCGCAAAAACTTTGTCATTGCACCTAATTCTACAGTGGAGGGCACTGAGGCACAGAGAGATTAATGACCTTGATTAAGGTCACACAGCGGTGTTATGGGCTGAGCTGTGTCCCTCTTATGTTGAAGACCTAAAACCTAACACCTCAGAATGTGAATTAGTTGGAGATGAGGCCTTTAAACAGGTGATTCAGTTAAGATGAGGTCACTGGGGTGGGCCCTAATCCAACATGACTGATGTCCTTCTAAGAAAAAATTAGGAAACAGACAAGTGCAGAGGAAAGACCAGGCGAAGACACAGGGAGGGGACAGCCACCTAGAAGCTTTACTATGGCAGCCCAAGCAAACTAACACACCTAGGAAGGGACAAAACTGGGCAGCCTGACTCCAGAGCCCTCTTGTATCTACCCCTTACCATCCTCAGAGATACTGGGCGGCTGGTATTAGAGCTCCTATAGACAAAGAGAATAAGTCTCAGGAGAAACGGCTGGCCCACTGTGCCACAGCTGGGCAGGGCAGAGCTGGGGCTAGAGTCCTAGGGAATCCATGCACTGACCTGTATTTTGGGAAATCCAGTCCAGGGGCAGTGAGGTGAGCAGCCTGGAGATCAGGAAGCCAGGGAGCAGGAGGGCAGGCCCGGGGGACTCATAATAGTTGGCCATAGGGGAGGGGGCTGACTCAGGAAGACCAGAGCCCAGGGAGGATGGTCAGTGCCGAGCACAACATATGCACCTCAGCCAACACGTGCTGACCGATGTTCGTAAGGTCTCAGACCGGTAAACACAGGGCCGATGTCCCTTTAATGAGAGGGACTGCCCAGGGAACCAAAAGTAATCCTGCATACCAAACATTAAGACTTATGTGCATCTGAGAAATAACCCTTGCCCAGAGTCACCTTTAAATATATGTAACGTAATCAGTGCTGACTCCAGAGCTAGGGTTGCCCGAGAAGCAGAGCCTGTAAGACAAACCATTTCGGTACAAAGAGTCTGTACGGGACTCGATCCTAGCAAATCCACTGGAGAGGGGCGAAGTGAGACCAGGAAAAGAAGGGAGCCAATAAAAAGGGGGGTCCTGGAGCCGGTCTCCATCGTGAGCCATGACCTCCCACCCAGCACACTTGACCCAGAGGCAACCGTACTGCACAGAAATGAGAACTCAGGACACAGTTCTTTTTCATTGGTGATCTTAGGATCTTTAGGACTTTGAAGACTAAAAGGAAGGACAGCTTTTCTCACCTCCAGGCCCTGAGGCTACCCTTTCTCTGCCTCCTCGGCCGGGGCGACACTGCTCTCAGCCCCCAACTGAGGGCCAAATCTCCCAGACGACCGGGCCAGGCTGAAGACTGTGTCATCTCC